GACACACACACACACACACACACACACACACACACACAAACATACTCTCTCTCATATAGACACATATACACAAATTCACACACATACAAACATGCACACGTGCGTGCCTGTATGCCCAAACACAAACAGACGGACACGGATATAAGACGGTCTATCCATCCATTCATCATTTATTTATTCATCCATTTACCACGTTACCCTCCATCCATCCATCCATCCATCCATGCATCCATCCATCCATCCATGCATCCATCCATCCATCCATCCATGCATCCATCCATCCATCCATCCATCCATCCATCCATCCATCCATCCATCCATGCATCCATCCATCCATCCATCCATCCATCCATCCATCCATCCATCCATCCATGCATCCATCCATCCATCCATCCATCTATTTCAGATCTGGGGTGCTGCAGCAACTCAGATTTTCTACTCCCTCGGTATTGGATTCGGTGGTCTGCTCACAATGGCTTCCTACAACAAGTTTAAGAACAACTGCTTCAGGTGGGTCATCTTTCGGGTTTGTTTGTTTAAAAGGGAATGTTTTACTCCGTACTAAACACAATTTGGGTTGTTTAGAGAATAAGCACTTTTTTACGAACATTGTGGTAGGAAAATGAAATCTTTTATGGCTTGGAGAAAATAAAACAGTTTTTTGTTTCCTACCATTGTGCGTGCATATTATTAATTTCTTGTCTTGCAAAACCATTCCATTCGTTTCGATATTTGAGTCAAGAGCCCTTGAACTATTAATGGTATGACTTCTTTCATTCAGTACTTCTTAGGGCGAGGTAAGTTATATCGCCCTTGTTAGCTTCACTTATCACACTGTCCTGTAATCACCAAAATAAAAAGTACAGCCGTACTTACCTCAATGACTTTGGGTAATAATATGCTCTGAATTTAAGACGGATTGAGGAAAAAAAATGAGTCGATAATCCACAATTCATAAAAATCGCATATCATTCGAACGGCTCTGCCAAGCTTCAAATAGCTGTGATAAGCGAAAACATCATGACTGTTTAGATCTAGTCGAAAGGGTACGGCTTTAATTCAGCGCTTGTCAGGCCAAATAGCATTAACACTACTGACACCTGCAACGCCAGTCTATAATACAGAGTTAGAAGAAAAGAAAATTTCCCATCTTAGAAATAATTATGTGTGAGACATCGTGGTGAAATCAGGCACTCGTCAAAAAATGAAACAGAAGAAACCCACATTTTCCAGCCCTATGAGCAATATTCATGAGGGTTTTTTTCAATACCCTTTACATCCATCTAAAACACTTTTCTGTGTGAATTTTACTGTAAACCCTTGACAAAAGTCACAAAATAAAGGTAGACTTGCAGTTTCCAAGGGCACTCAAGTGTTGAAAGTCACCAAAGTCGGCTATTTCCTCGCTAATTTTACATCTGAAACCAGGCGATCCACACCTTTCAATCGCAAATGTCTCAACTTCTTTTCGAGATGTATTTTTTTTTCATTAAAGGAAATGAACATGCTTTAAGATTATATTACTCCATATGCCCCAAAACTGACGAGTGCCTGACTTCATAGTCGCAACACATTTAAGGGGTGGGGGGGTTTACACCTGGAGGCTATCTCGCTTATTACCTGACCGAATTTTACAAAATTTCACACATATAACAAGCATAGTAAGGAGTCTTAAAATCCGCAATCAAATTTAAGAAAAATGTTTCGTTTCCATGGATACGCCGCCATATTGGATTTTATTGACATGTCTTACGTAATGAATACCGCACTTATCGCTCATGGAAATTGATTTTTTTTACAGGCGTGTTCACAAACATTAGATATAAAAATTTGTCTGTTGTTTTTTTCGTAAACGAATTAGACAATTTTTTATGAATTTTTTCCTGAGGTAGCATTCAAGTTTGCGAAAAATCCCTGAAAATCCACACTCCAGACAACACCAACAAAAATCTATTCCATATATCAAAAATTCAACAGACAAATTTTTAGTATTACCTCTTCTCTTCATTCTGTAAAAATGGTGGAGTTATTCAAAAAAGTATAGAGAAAAGTCGTATTTTGAGAAAACGGCCGATAAAGAAAAATAAAATACTGACTTAATGAGGAAATGGCGATTACAAACATGCCCGGTATGGGAAAAATACGGTTTTTGGGGGTTCTTATGCGATGAAATAGTTGTAGGAGAGGCTGAGGAAGCTAAAAAATGCCTACAACTCAAATTCCATGATTTTGAGACGAATTTTGACTTTGGAGGTGTAGCCCCCCCCCCCTTAAAAAACAAAGCCATTTAATACCTATCAAAATGCCTTATTATAAAACCTGGTTATGTCTTTGCATCCGAACTTTACGCAGAGATGCCGTCCTGGTTGCCTGTATCAACTGTGGGACTTCCATTTTCGCTGGCTTCGCCATCTTTTCGCTGCTCGGTCACATGGCTTACGTCACCAACAAGAAGGTGCAGGACGTGGCAACCTCTGGTAAGAGCGACTGTGCTTATCATTTTGCGTATTAGTATGAGCACCATTACCCAACGCCTCCTTCACCCCCCTTTCCTCTTCCTCCTCCTCCTACTCCTATTTCGCTTTCTCCTCTTCTTCTTTCTCCTCTTCTTCTTTCTCCTCTTCTTCTTTCTCGTCTTCTTCTTTCTCCTCTTCTTCTTTCTCCTCCTCCTCCTCTTCCTCGTCCACCACTTCCTTCTTATCCCACTCCTCTTCCACTACCACCACCACAATCATCATCATCATCATCATCATCATCATCATCATCATCATCATCATCATCAT